CAAAACAAAAGCATTGCCCCAACTCAGCGACGACCCATAAAAATCCCATTGTTTAATTCTTGAAGTGTACTTTGCATTTATTAATTTGCAGCTGTATTCAGACTCCCAACCCACCATGGAGTGAGGGCCATCCTATTGAGCATTCGATCACAGAATTCTCTAGAACTTACTGAAACCCTAGGTCTGATTGTCTGCTCCTTTGTCTGCACTTTGTATCTGAGGAAGCGCTGCCCCAGCCAAAGGCCTCACCAAGGCTACCGGAACCAGGACTGAAAGCAAATGTTTCCCAATTCAGTGTTATTTCTACTCCACAATCCTCCTTTCATTTTAAAGCTGCTATGTTATTTGTATAGTTTTAATGGCTCTTCACATAAGAGGATATGTGTATTTGGGCTTATACATTTACATTCAAAATCATTTTCCATTCACTCACTGGACTTGATAAGGAAGCCATCCCATTCTTTGGGATGTTGCCACTGGGATGGGCAACAAGCTTGGCATTTATATCAGAATGCAACTGTGGGTGGAGAAAAAGGGGACTTTAGAGCTTTGAGAAATGTTTATATTTCTTACAAAAGTAATTATAGAGCAAGAGAACCTTAACATAGAGGAAAACATAAGTTGCCTTGGGCTTCGGGTACTTACAGTAGGGGAAATGCCTTTAGTATTCTCTCATCTGTTTTCTTCATTAGTAATTCCACTGAATTCCCTGGTTTTAACTATCACCTCCAGAAAAAAAAAAAATCCAAAATTGTACTTTCAACTATCAGTTCTTAAGTATGCAGCTCCTTTTTCCAATCCCCTGGACACATTGTCTAGGACCCCACCCCACCCCCGCCATACCCACACATTGGTAGTTCCTGTATTACCAATTACCATTCTGTCTATCATCATCATCATCATCATCATCATCATCATCATCATCTTTATCCTAGGAGACAGGCTCAAAATCATGGTGCCAGCTCTTCTCACCAGCTCCCATTGCCAGTCTCTACTGCTTTACCTGTACCTGCCATTTGGGCCCAGCCCTGCCTCGTTACCCGTTGACACCCACTGCTCCTGTGCCAATAGGTTCCCTTTTATATTCTTTTTCTCTAGCTCTTCTCTCAATCTGAAAACCCCTTTCACCATTCTATGACCATATCTTATGTCAACAATGTACTCAAACGCCAGTTTCACATATCCTTCCTGATCCATTCAGGCAAAAGTATTACTGGCTACCCTGAATTTCCAAAGACCATACCCTTTACCTTTCTTATGGAGCATTACTTGTTACTTAATAAAAGTAGTACTTATTGAGCATATACTGTGTATCAGCCATATATATACATAAGAACTTTATATACATTTGCATTGAATCCTCTCAGCAGCCCTATAAGACCTAAAGGGCCTCTACCCCAGAGGTCCCTGTTTAATTGGCTTTGGGTACAGTTGAACATGGGGACTTTTAAGACTCCCTGGTGATTCCACTGTGTGGCAGATTGAGAACCACTGGTGTAACTCCGAACCCATTAGCCACCTATTCTCCTGTAGGACGTATCACATTTGGAGCTTTAAAACAAATGCTGGACTCCAGCCCAGTCCCAACAAACTTGAATCCCTGGGGGATAGAGCCTGGGAGTCCACGTGTTGGCAAAGCTTCACAGGTGATTCTGCCTCATAACCAGGATGGAGAACTACCCTCTCGCTCAGTCACTGTGTCATCTCCCACTGTTGCTAGACTACAGGTGATTACATATGTCTACTCCACTTTGTAGTCCATAAACTCTTTGAGGAAAGGTTTACATTTGATTCATCTTGGTCTATTCCCTGGCACATAGCAGTATCCTTTGTACATAATATGTTTTAGAAACTTAAAAATAAATGCCCTTTGCTGATCTTATTATGAAAACAATGAACCCCTTTATGGAATACTTATCCTCTTCATGGGACTAGGTTTTAATCTCTACTACGCCAGCCTGGGAAGGAAGCAAGTCATTGCAGTGCTCTGAGCATCGCAGCTGCGTGGCTGTGTGGTGTCAGAGCCAGGGCTGGAACCCAGATGCCTTCCTCTGCATCTCCTGCCTTAAACGCAACTGCCAAGTGAAACAACAGTCTACGTGTTTGGATAGATGCTGTCACACATGTTTCTACAATTAGAACATAACCTGCCACATGGGGCGGGAGGGGAACTGTTGGCATCATGAAATAGATTTGGAAAAACATATCACTTTAAGACCAAAAAGCTAATTATGTGACCTAACATACTCAGTCCCATCCTCCCTCACCCCCAGATGCGCATATGAACAAACCCACTCTCTCATTGTTCTTTGGCATTTCTTGACAACTATTTAATTACTACATTAGTAAGTTTCTTAGTTTTCTTTTTCTTCTTCTTAGTTTGTGCTATTTCTCAGACTTTTCAAATAACCTGAGCTTCTGGTTATAAGTGAAGTCTATTTAAAGGTTTATATACAGATTACCGAAGGCAGTAAATTGTCATGTTCCATTCAATATGAATATGCACATCAAATGTATACGGGGATAAAGGGGAAATGACACACAAGACCTAGAAACCGGATTTAGGCTCTTTTTTGCCATTTCCAAGTCAGGTAACTCTACATAGGGAATGAACTTTCCAGAATCTCTTTCCTCACCTAAAAAAAATGGAAGGGAAAAGGACCTAAAATAGATTGTCCAAAATTTTCTTCCAAATATTATTATTTTAGAGGGTCATAAACTTTCATAATTCATTACCAGGCTTTTGGTCAAGATTAAATTAATAATTCCTTATTATCCTTAATATCTAGTTGATATTTTTAAAGGCGAATAGAATCATAGTGAAATTTACAGACTTCTTTACAATTTAGAGAGTGTTCCCCTCCATTATCTCCTTTGGTTTTTATAACATAACTGCAGGCTAGTTATTATGCCCATTTCACAGAAAATGAAATTCAGATGCAGAGAATTGACCCGCCATGGTAATGAAATGAGAAAATGGCAAACCTAGACGCAACTGGACCCAAATGTGATCCCCAGTGACACGTGGATGGCCACCAGCAAAGCTGGAGATGGAGGCCCGGGAGATCTGACATGCAGACTGCTCAGCCCAGTAGCCTGTCTGTCTCCCAGAATGTTTTCTAGCCCAGACACCTATAAATCACTTTCAAATAGAATACCAAGCAGGGATTTATTTAGCATATCATTTCTGGGTGTGTGTTTTCCTGCGCATTTATAGATCTGTGTTTTTCCAAGCTGAGTGTTCCTGATAGTGCAAGACAGATAATGATAAATGAGCATCTATGTGAGCCTAGCTGGGAGGAGGACCAGGAACTGTTGACACCCCTCCTGTGAAGTTAATCCCATTTCTTTTAGCTGTTTCTTTATTAGTTAATGAGGTCTGGCCAAAAAAAAAAAAAAATGTGTCTATGATGGTGTGTTAGCATCCTTGCCTCTAGGTACATTTTCAAGTATTCATAAAGTAGCTCGTCCGACCAAAGCCTAAAGCAAAAGTGCATTAAGTATGAATTTAGTTAACTTCATATGCGGGTGGTCGAAAAACTGCTCCTGAAATAACCTAAATAATGCTCCTCATTGGCGTTTCCAGATGGACAGCTCTAGGTGCAACGTGAAGGGGGACAGGGAAGAGGGAGGGCGCAGAACAGCCAGGACTCGAAGGGCAGCCGGAAGCTTTTATCCTGCCCCTGGCTGACAGCTGTGTGGCTGACTTTGGGAAACTGAATAACTTAAGGGAAATAAAAACAAAATGAGAAAGGAATTACCAGTCAAGCCCCTGGGAAGGAGAGCAGACACTAGATCTTAGTGCTCCTGGGAGGCCAGAGACCGCTTTCCACCTCGGTTCCTTATGGCCAAGAGGGAAAAGGAAAATCTCGAAAGGGATGCACTTGGAAAGGCAAGCCAACTGTGAAGCTTGGTTAGCCGCTACCCTGAGCTCTGGGTCCAGTGCATCGTAGCGATGACCTCCACCACCTGGCTCTAGAAGGCCACACTGCACACTGTGGCAGAGTCCTAGGGACACAGCTAGCGCGTGCGCGCACACACACACACAGAGTCTTCACCCCCTCCACACACACACCCAACTTCTATCATTCCAAAGCACAGCCACATAAATCCTTCCCACTTTCCATCCTTTCATGATTTTGTTTCCCCAAAACATCATTTAATGACGTTAACATTGTGGCTTTTCTACATATAGTTTATAAGCAAAGGAACTTTTTCAAGAGATGCCTTCTGTTTGGTTCTAGTGGCCTGGGCTACCTGGTGTGTATTTGGGCTAACAACCTGCAAATCATAGCCCAACGTTCTCCTTCCTGTTTCTGCATCAGTGACCAAAAGGAGCCTCCTAATTGGTGCGAGTCTTCCTAACCCTTCGTCAGGAGGAGGTCAAGAAACAAGGAAGGAAAGAAAAACCAAATCTTCCGACCTCCAACCTTATGGGCATGGCAGCAAATCGCAGTGTTACTGGTTATTCAATGTTACCTATGAATACCTGTGCACAAGGAGGTGCATTCATGCCATCCCCACTGAGTCTTTCATTCATGGAGTCTTTGGCCTTTTGCGATATCAACCCCAGATGAAGGAAAGCTGAGCCACACTTCTGAAAGGAGTTGGCCACGTAATCCCACTTGGTGTGGATTTGGAGAGAAACAGACAAGGACTGATCATGCAAATGTCTCCTTCACAGCTCAGTGCTCAACTTTCTGGTCATTTTAGCTGGTTTATGAACTTCCTCTAAATGTAAAAAAAAAAAAGGGCCTGAAAAATAGTAACAGCATAGCATAATAATAATAATGCTGCATTGGGACATGCTCAGAGTATAATGTTTCTCTATTATCGCCTGCCTTGAGGACATGGAAGGCACTTTGACAGCCATTATGATTACAAAAGGTACAAGCTAATATTGGCTGTGCCAGATGTAATTTTGCATTTCTCTCAAAAGAAACACTGTTATGTCCCAGCTGTAAGCATGACTGTGTCCTGTACTCGCTATTCTGTTACAGGTGATCCACATAACAGGTCGGCTACGACTGCGGGTGTCGCTGTCCCACGGGAGGACCATCCCCAGCCAGATCATGGGTCTTGTGGTCGTGGCGCATGCCTTGCCTCCCCCTACAATCAATGAAGTCAGAATCGACTGCCATATGTTCGTCACTCGAGTAAATATGGACCTCAATATCATTTACTGTGAAAATAGGTACTTGGTTTTTGTTTCCGTTTGCCCTGCTGTGTGTTGCACATGGGTGAGGGTTGGTGTTTTCAGCAGGCTGTAGGACTTTACTCTCCCAATGAGGCTCATTATAAATCCTGATCTTATTTCTAGTGGATGCTTGGACTGACACCTAACATGATTTTTATTTTAAATTTCCGTTGCTGGCCTGATTTGCATGAGGGATAACAATGGAATGAATTGGGATACCCAGACATCCATGTGCTATAAGTAAGGCCCATTTTGCCCAAAAAAATCCAAGGAGAGAGCAAGACTGAGACATTATTGGGGAAATGATGCAGTAAAGGGTGCTCAGGAGTGATGCCTCAGCCAGACCCTGTTCCTGACTCCTGCAGGGCCCAGCCTCATGATGGTCCATGTTCACGCAGGCAGGCATTAAGCGCATTGCCTTAATCAGCTCAGGCTGCTATAACAAATTACCATAGCCCAGCGGCCTAGACAACAGACAGTATTTCTCACAGATCTGGAGGCTGGGAAGTCCAAGGTCCAGGTGCAGGCTGCTTAGACTCCTGGTGAGAGCCCTCTTCCTAGCTTATAGATAGCTGCCTTCTGCTGTCCTCACGCAGGGAGACAGAGCTGTGGGCTCTTCTCTGTATAAGGACTCAAATTCCATCACAGGGGCTCTGTCCTCATGAACTCATCTAATCCTCATCTAAATCAAAGGTCCTACCTCCTAATACCATCACATTGAGGGGAAGGGCTGTAATATATGAATTTGGTGGGGAGACACAAACATTTAGTCCACACAACACATATACAGAACCAATGACAATCAGAGCCCCCTAGAGGAAAAAAGGACCAAGATATTGAACCTGATATAGGTCATCAGACTAGTCTAGGCTTTCTACACATGTATTAAATAAAATTCGTAATTCTCACTTTCATAAATTAAAAAAAATAAGATGACTCATTGTGTGAATAACTTGCCAGTCCTTCCTCAGGATTGAGCTTTTATAAAAGGATTTCTTGGCCTTTGGTTAAAAGTTCACTTTTTCCATTAAGCACAAAGCGAGGGACAAGGAAATGGGACAATGCCCCTTCAGACCTTTCACCTAGAAGTCACCAGCCTTCAGACTAATGTAAAGAGGAGAGGTTGATGGGATGTGGGGAGCAGGGAATGGAGCAGTGCAGGGGCTGCTGCGGGAGCTGTGGTGATGCTGTCCCTCCCCCGTGCTATGGGAAGAATTACAGTCAGTTTTGAGAAGATGCTTTTGTGGCTCAGTGTTGTCGGCCATGGATACAGTATATGCTCACTGAGCCCTGTGAGTGCCTATGGAGGAAAAATGAAAAAACAGAACGGCCAAGCGGCTTGGTAATTGACCTCCTCATGGCCGAGCCAAGAGGCAGGCAGACAGCATTGCGTTCAGTCTGTTGGGAAGTGAAAGGTGTTGCAGCTGAGTTAAAAATGCCTACCATTTCCAGTCAGGATTTGATTCAGAGAAAAGAATTCACCAATAGGATACATACCCGCCTGCCTTTTAATGTTCGGTGGGGTAGAAGATATCATGAAACTGGCGCTATTACTTAATAAGTAACTCTAAATCTATGTTTTAAGCTTTTGGTGGCATTTAGTAAAAATTGTATCATCACGACTGTATAGGTGGCTATATCTAAGGTATTCTGGAATGGCCACAGGAAATCAGGAAGGACAATTAGCCAAATGATTGCCTAGAGTTGGTTAGTAATAATTAAGATGACTAACATTGATTGAACACTTACTACACACTTGGCAATGTGCAGAGCTCATTATAAGGGTGGGGCAAAAGTAGGTTTATAGTTGTGAGTACATGAAACACAGTTTATTCTTGTATTATTCTTTAATAATTACTGTATTATCTTCCATCTGAACAACTGTAAGCCTACTTTTGCCCCACCCTGTATGCACCATCTAACTCAAGTTTCTGGACAGTTCTGTGAGGCAGGTCTTGCCATTGTCTCAATCCCCCTCAGGTGATTTCAGGTGAAAGAGAAAGGTTGACTTACCTGAGGCCAAGAGTTAAACCCAAATCTGACGGATTCAGAAACCTCTCACTTAGCAACATCCTGGGGGGCCTCCCTGCGTTCCCTGTCTCTTATTTTTCCTCGGAAGTCAGGCCAGATGGTAAGGAACTGGTCATAATAACTGCCTAGGTGGACCTTTCACACATGTGCATCCACGAAAAACAGCCACAGCCCATAGAGCTATTTATCCTGGTTTAAAATGTAGAATGCTGGAGACCCAGGAGGCAGAAAGTCAAAGGATGAGCTATGGTATTGCTTCTTTGAAAACATGGGTCAGCTCCCTTGATTTAGGTTACCAACACCAATTCCTAAAAAAGGGGGGGTGGGGTGGAGGGGGAGTCTTGTCTTATTTCCCTAACATTTACTCAGCGATTGTCTTATCCCAAAACTAGCACTTAATTTTCATGAGATCACAGACTAATTCTTTTGACATACTCCACAGAACCAAGTGCCAAATGGTGCCACTCTAGTAATTGAGATTACATTCTGTAACCACTTTAAGCTATTTTTTCTTCCCATTTAAATAAAGTTTTCTACAACCCCTTATTAGCCAATACAATACAGCATTATTTCCTAACTGAAGATGATAGTAATTATTAAAAAGACCTATGTGGAGGTAATTGTATATTTGACCTACGGGAGAAGCATACAGACAGCTGCCTTCTGCTATTGCATCTTGTATTCTGATGCAAATGTGTGTCCAGTGCAATGCTATGTTCATTTCATTCATTCAACCCCTCACCAGCCTCTTAGCTATTTTACAGGTGAGGGAACTGAGTCTCAGAGTACAAGATGCCAGGGGGACCTGGTTCTCATAGAGGTCATCAGACTGTTCTGGGGCTTCCACTACATATAGGAAGGGGTCGCTGAACACTGAGCTGGCCACATTCACCTCAATAACAGGCTCTGGTACCAAGAAGTGGTTCTATTGTTTGAAAGGATTCCATTCAAATAAAAAATAAACTAAAGAAATGTCTTCCCTAAAGAATGAAGTGGATTTTTTCCTGGGTTTGTTGTTTAATTGGGGAATTGCTAACTAGAAACTAAAGGCAATCCCTGACTCTACAGACCATCCCCCCGCCCCCCAGCCCC